CACTGTCGGTAGAACACTACGCCGTCATGGTTTCAAATCATGCATGGAAGGTTTCCCTGCTCAAGTCATCTCATGTCCAGGCCCGTCTGAAGTTTGCCAATGACCATCTGGATGATCCAGAGGAGGCATGGGAGAAAGTCCTGTGGTCAGATGAGACCAAAGTAGAACTTTTTGGTCTAAACTTCACTCGTCGTGTTTGGAGGAAAAAGAAGGATGAGTTGCATCCCAAGAACACCATCCCTACTGTGAAGCATGGGGGTGGTAACATCATGCTTTGGGGGTGCTTTTCTGCGAAGGGGACAGGACGACTGCACTGTATTAAGGAGAGGATGAATGGGGCCATTTATTGTGAGCTTTTGAGCAACAACCTCCTTCCCTCAGTCAGAGCATTGAAGATGGGTCGTGGCTGGGTCTTCCAACATGACAACGACCCGAAGCACACAGCCAAGATAACCAAGGAGTGGCTCCGTAAGAAGCATATCAAGGTTCTGGAGTGGCCTAGCCAGTCTCCAGACCTAAATCCAATAGAACATCTTTGGAGGGAGCTGAAACTCCGTGTTGCTCAGCAACAGCCCCAAAACCTGACAGATCTAGAAGAGATCTGTGTGGAGGAGTGGGCCAAAATCCCTGTTGCAGTGTGTGCAAACCTGGTCAAGAACTACAGGAAACCTTTGACCCCTGTAATTGCAAACAAAGGCTTCTGTACCAAATATTAACACTGATTTTCTCAGGTGTTCAAATATTTATGTTCAGCAGTGCAAGACAAATAAATTCTTTAAAAATCATACAATGTGATTTCCTGAATTTTTTTTAAATTCTGTCTCTCAGAGTGGGAATGCACCTACAATGTGAATTTCAGACCCCTCCATGATTTCTAAGTGGGAGAACTTGCAAAATTGCAGGGTGTTCAAATACTTCTGTTCCTCACTGTAGCAGGTAAATATGACATGCTTGCTATTAAAAGAAATCAGCCTTCAACATCACTCTCGAGCTGCTGCTCTGTCTGTCCATTCAAACACAAAGCACGGCTTGGCCCCACCCCTGCTCTCTCCTCATTGGCTGCAATTGACAGCAGTGGGAGCCACTGGCTCCCCTACTGCTGTCTCAGCCAATGAGGAGGCAGAGACCCTGGAGAGCCGCTGCTCTTGTGCACATCGCTGGATGGAGATTGGGCTCGTCTAAGTATTAAGGAGGGCTGGGGGGGGGGGGTGTCTGCTGCACACAGAAGTTTTTATACCTTCATGAATAGAATGCACAAAGGTGAAAAACCTTGAGTCTTTACAACCATTTTAAAGTTTCACTCTAAGCATTATTAAAATCACTGCTCCCCATCCAAACAGTATTTCTAAATTTTGTTTTAGTATACTAGTATATAAACCCCCAAGGCAGCATCCAGCCCCCATGCAATTTGTATGACAATTCCTTGCCTATACACCTTGAACAATGGACAGAAATTATTTTAAAGATTCGGCTCCTATTGACCTCAATGAGGTTCGGATTAATGTTCAGAACCATAGAACAGTTTGGCTAACCCCCAAACCCAGGTACGTTTGTCTCATCCCTCTCATTGTGACTGTAAAGCCCTAAACTACCCCATACATGTTTTAGGTCTGTTTATTCTCCTTTTGTATTGTGGTGTCCCACAAGTGAAATATTGTTCATTATTATGTTATGATGTAGCACAGTATGAGTCAGTATTTGCTTTCATTAGTGATGACAGTACTTACCTGATGCTAGTGATGTCCAGCTGACCTTCTACCAGATGTGGAGGTCTCCCCCCCCCCCCCCCCCAGGGCATATTCCATCTCGATCCAAAAGGTTTTCTACAAGAGTAAAACGTGGCAGATGTAGTCATCTATTTACTCAGCATTAACTTTGTAATACAGTAACTTAAGTTGTAGAAGTTTAATGGAGACTAAGAACTTTTCTTGTGAATTTTTTTGAGAAGATTTTGTGATCTGACTATGTAAATTGCATTACCCTGGGTACCAAAAATGGAGCTAATGTGCCTGAGTGTACTAAAAAAAGGAGAAGTATGGGCAAAGCTCCTCTGGACATACTTCTCCTGTAAGTCACAAGAGTGCACTTAGTTATGCACTCCTGTGACCAAAACATCACAGAGCTGGTCCAGTCTATCCAGGGATCCCAACAATGTCAGGATCCACCCTGATGCCTGACAACCAGCTGGCTTAGCCTCTGAGTGCCTGAGCCAGCTGCTACTTCCCCTTGTACAGTCCAATGCTCCAATGAGTGGACTTGAGAACTGAGCAATCAGTGGTCTTTGATTGCTCAGTTCTCGGTGTAGAGCCGGCGAGGGACAGCTGCAGCTCGGATTGATGCCGTAGTCATCTACTGCAGGCGAGTATGTATATTTGTTTTTTTTTTTTATCCTGTGCTCTTCTTTTAATCTTTAAAAACTCCCAACTCCCAACTGTTGAAGAGCTGCAGCTCCCAGTATGTTCTACTAACTAGCTGGAGATTGTAGCCATGACAATTTTGCCATTAAATGGTTAAATTTGCAAATGAAAGGTGTGCCTAAAATACCCATTTAATCAGGATAATCAGCTGATCACACAGGTGCACTGACAAGCATGACCTGAACTAGAAGAACAGCAAAGTAAAATATATTACTAACATTTTAGTGCTTGTATATACATGTAGCTTTCCTGCACCTGTGGAGTGTAAGATTGCCCTCTTTCCTGTCAAAACATATTGGCCTGCCTATTAGAAACAATGGCAAGTCCCGGTTTTACTGACTGGGCCAGTAACGTGCCAACCAGTCTATGGACTAAACTGTCGACAGCTAATCAGAATGCTGCACCGAGTTAAACAACCTAAAATATATATAGGCTCAATATAAAAATCTGTCACACAGCAGAAATAGGCATATTTTACTGTTCCAGCAATACAGATTTTTTTCCCTATCAAGTGATATGCTACATACCTGCTAAATGACTAAATCAGGGGTGTCAAATTGGCGGCCCTCCAGCTGTTGCCAAACTACAAGTCCCATCATGCCTCTGCCTTTGGGAGTCATGCTTGTAACTGTCTATTTGCAATGCCTAATGGGAATTGTAGTTTGGCAACAGCTGGAGGGCCACCAGTTTGACACCCATGTACTAAATGATCAGATAGGAAGTAACTTTTTACTAAACAGGTGCCAAATTAGAAGCAATAATGCAGAACAGATTGAGGATGGCAAAGAGCATGCATACACTGCAGAATACTACAAAACAGGTTAGGAAGGTGTACTAACATTGACTCCTCACAGCAATTTTTCTGTGGCCTAACTAGGTTAACGTATGGCTCACAGCATAATTCTTACAAGACAATATAACAATCCAGAGTCAAGCTGAGAATCACTATCTCGGTAAAACAGTGCAGAACACAGCTACATTCGGTTATCCCCATATACATTGTGTCACAGTAATTCTAGTAACACAGGTGAACAGCTGGATGGATCCAAGCACTAGGGATGAGCTAAAGGGTTGTAAACTTTGGCTGTAGGGGAAATCTCCCAAATGCCAGACTTTTAGCCTGTTAAACAGGAACCAAAAATCATATATAGTAACAGTATTTCTACAAATACCGTATATGACAGCTTCCTATCTGTCAATGGTTGTTAAAGAATTGCTGGGGACTGCACCCCCTGCATCTTTAGCAACCACTGACATCACCCAACCCTTTGGCCGTGGCCATAGTTGGTTAGTGACTAAATCTGGGAGTCCTTGCCCCTTTGTTCCTGTTTAGCAGTCGTCGGTCTTCAGATTTTTTTTATTCTTTTGACAGGCGTCGCTCACCATGATTGACAAGGATTTGCTTTACTGGATGACATCGTTGATGATGATGATGATTTTTTTTTTATTCAGTGTGTTCATTTACTGCTTACTTTTTTGTATGAATGAGTAGGGGTACTATGCACCCCCTTACTCATTCACAGAGGAATACCCCATCTTTTTTGTGTGACATCCATCTAAACCCTCATCAAGGATAAGGGTCTGGTATGAATATTTAGGGGGAACCCTGCATCATTTTTTGTGTGGTGGTCCCCCATTAACATCTATACCAGACCCTCATATAGGATAAGAGTCTAGCATAGATGAAGAGAATCCCAGCTGTTTTTCAACAAACTGAATTAAGAGGCTGAATTAAATAATTTCACAGCAATTTGAACAGCACTTTTTAATTTGTTAACCACTTGCCTACAGGGCACTTTTACCCCCTTCCTGCACAGGCCAATTTTCAGCTTCCAGCACTGTCGCATTTTGAATGACAATTGCGCAGTCATGCAACACTGTACCCATATTAATTTTTTTTTAGACAGAAAGAGCTTTCTTTTGGTGGTATTCACCACTGTTTTGTTTTTTTTTTCTAAACAAACTAAAAAAGCCTGAAAATTTTGAAAAAAAAAGTTTTTTCTCAGTTTCTGTTATAAAATTTTGTAATAATAATTTTTCTCCTTCACTGATGTGCACTAATGAGACTGCAGTGATGGGCAGTGATAGGCTGCACTGATGGGCACTGATAGGCGGCACTGATGGGCATCACTGGTGGGCATTGACAGGCATCACTGATGGGCACTGAAAGGCAGCACTCATATATGGCACTGATAAGCGACACTGATAGGCAGCACTGATTGGAACTGTTAGGTGACACTGATGGGCATTGATAGGCAGCACTGACAAAAGACACTGATAGGCAGCACTGACTGGCACTAATAGGCAACACTGACTGGCACTGGCTTGCCCGTTCGTCATTTTCTTTTATGGCAGGCGGGAGGTGGTTAATTTCGGTTTTGCTGTAGTAGGTTGTATACAGATATACCACTTCACAGGCAGGTTAAGGGCAACCCGAGGCATGTTACTTAACTGTCCCCGCCTGCCAAATAGTAAAAGACGGACGCAAGGCGGTTTTCTCATTCTGGGAGGACGTCATATGATGTCCTCCCATTCTAACCGCGCATGCACGGCTCCGGGAACGAGCAGCGCGGCGATCAGCAGTGCACTGTGTCCCTCGGATCACTGATCAACAGAAAGATGTTGGCTCGGTCATGTGATCAGCTGTGCCCAATCACAGCTGATTACATGTAAACAGGGAAATGCCAGTTTCTCTCCTCAAGAGCTGTCCCGCTGACAGCTCGTGAGGAGAGGAGAGCCAGTAATCGGCATTTCTCGGAGGGGACATGTACACAGATCATCAGAGAACTGATGATCAGTGTGCCCTGATGATCTGTGTAGCCGCAACAGTGCCACCTGTCAGTGTCCATCAGTGCCAGCTGTCAGTGCTCATCCATGCCACCTGCCAGTGTCCATCAGTGCCACATTTCAGTGCCCATCAATGCCACATCAATGCCACATATCAGTGCCCATCTGAGCTGCCTTTCAGTGTCACCCATCAGTGCCAGTCAGTGCCTTCTATCAATGCCAGCCAGTACCACCTATCAGTGCCAGTCAGTGCCGCCTATCAGTGTGCATAAGTGCCGCCTATCAGTACCCGTCAGTGCTGCCTATCAGTGCCGCCTAACAGTGCCAGTCAGTGCCACCTACCAGTTCCATATATGAGTGCTGCCTTTCAGTGCCCATCAGTGATGCCTGTCAATGCCCATCAGTGCCACCTACCAGTGCCTCCTCATCAGTGCCACCTATCAGTGTCCATCACTGCAGCCTATCAGCGCCCATCACTACAGCCTCATTAGCGCACATCAGTGAAGGAGAAAAATCACTTATTTACAAAATTTTATAAACAAAAACTAAGAAAAAACTTTTTTTTTCTAAATTTTCAGTGGTTTTTGGTTTGTTTAAGAAAAAATAAAAATCCCAGAGGTGATTAATTACCACCAAAATAAAGCTCTATCTGTCAAAAACAAATTATAAAAATTTCATATGGGTACAGTGTTGCATGACTGTGCAATTGTCATTCAAAGTATGACAGCGATGAAAGCTGGAAATTGGCCTGGGCAGGAAGGGGGTATAAGTGCCCTGTAGGCTAGTGGTTAAAGGAATTTTGCATTGTTAATGTTACCCTTAAAGCATTATTAAAATTGCTGCTCCCAGGCAAACAGAATTTTTTAAACTTTTTTTTGCTTTGGTACCACAGAACAGTGCGTTTGCCCCCATGCAATTTCTTTGACAATCCCTTGTCTAGTAGCCTAGAAAATGCCATAACTGTTTTTAACTTTCGCCTTCTGTTGACTTCAGTGGAGTTTTGATTTGGCATGTAAACTTTAGTCATACTCTGCAAACTCACCTTGAATAAAATCCTAGGTACATTCAACTCACCTATACCAAGAATAAAAGGCCTGTATCAGAACTGGTGTACTCTGGTAGCAATTGTGGCTCCTCACAATAGCTGGGTCCTCTGAAGAAGCTGCATGCTATTTGACTCCAGCCTGGCACGCTGGTTCTGACAGTGGAGGGCCTGTTACCTGGCTGAAGATTATTTGACCAGCTACCTCTGCCTCATCAAGTGTGGCCTCTCAGAGCTGCTGAGGGAAGGAAGCAAAGGAATATATACTTCCTGGGTGTGTCTAGGAATTGTTGAATTAAAATTGAAATTAAAATTGAATTAAAGAGACCTTCAACTACATCTGACCATGGTGAGTAAATGGGCTACATTATGGGTGCACGTTGTTTGGATGGTTGACATGGCTGCCAAATGTTATCCCAGTGTTGCCCCCCTATCCATTCTGCGTATTCCTGCTAGACTGCAGATATATATCCTCATACTACTACTGTTATTATGTGTAATCGTCACATTAACCCATTCTTGCCATGCCTCCCAACCCTTTAAGAGCATTCAGGTCCTGTGATTGGCTGTCACAGGGGTTGCATGATTGTAAAGCTCCCTATTGCAAATATACATCTGGAGCTTTTTGGTCCCCACCTGCAACTGTGCTGGGAACACGAATGGCACGCGCTTCGAGCACAGAAAAGTGTTTCTGTAGGACCACATATTTGCGGCCTCTTGGAAATAAAGCCCACCCACCGAGAGGCCGCATATGTGCCATCTCCAGCGGTAAGAGGTTAAAAGACAAAATAGTATACAAAGATAAACAATGTTTGTCCTGTTTATGTTGAAGTCTCTATCCTGCCACAGTAGTTTCTAGAACAACTTTGGGATCAACTTTATTCTGGCTGCCCTTCATACTGTGCCTATATAAATCTCTTTTACCATCCTATCCGCACAGTCCTATGCATGTTCTGTAAATAAACGTATACAGTAAAATATCATGGAATAAAATAGATCTGGGTCAGGGATTAACATAATTAAGAGCTTTCATTTCCCTATAATAGAAACAAAAATCAAGATATTTTAGTGAAATTTCACAATTGTGGAACATGAAATTAGGATACATTTTGATGGATTTTAATGGTGCAATTGGCTTTAAATGGCTCCTTTATGTTAGGTAGCTTCTTTCAACTATCCCATATCTGTTTGTGCAAAATAGCACTACATTCCTATTTTTCACAGAAAGAAAAAACTGAAAAAAGGAATAAAAAATGTAAAGCCACAGCAAATAATTAACAAATAGAGAAAAATATAAATAAAATGAACAGTTAATTAAATAAAAACTAACTTGTTGGCAGGTGTTAGTGCCCTTGAACTGTTACCCCTCCTGTGGTGATATCGTGGGTGGGTGTCTTTTATATGCCAACTATGAGTGGAGCCCAGGGCACTTGTGGTATGAGAGAAGGACACCCCAGACCAGCAAAGATGTAGCGCTGATTTGGAGCTGAAACAGAGAGCTTCCTGCAGGGCTGAGCTGCCAGGGTGGTGTTTGAGCAGGGGCGAACTGGGCCGCTCTGATGCCTGGTAAAGAGGCTGCACCGCTTCCACCACAGATATGCCCAAAGGTTTCCTGGTGAAGAGGAGTAAAAAGTCCCCGCCAATGTCCTACCGAGTGCGGAATGAGGACAAGGACAGAGCGCAGGTTCCATCCAAAATGGATGGTGTATGCCATGTCCAATCAGAGGACGGGGTCGGCAGGGAAGAGGGAGAGCGAGAGGAGGGCCGAGTTGCTTTACCATGGTCCTCTGGGTTTTACTTATCCCCTGGGCCAAAAGTTGCCAGTCAGCCCCTGTGTTTGAGGACACTTGAGAAACAGACAAAGAAATCTTGACCCCCTTAATACTCGCCTAGTGGGTCCAATGGATTGATATAGAGTGGCCCCTGGGCCTGTGGAGGATCTCCCTTGTGTGAGAGGAAGGTACACCCTGTGTGAGTAACGCCTATGCTAAGAGATTGTAACATCTGGGGAAGATGGCTATAACTACTATGTGAGACTAGACATTGTCATGAGAAGGTGGAGAGTGTTCTGCACTGTGGGATTCTGTCAGTGAGTCTTACCCTGCTAATGTTATAATCACAAATGCAGCGCTAAAATATTAAATATTCAAGTGAAATAATAGTGGTAGACAAGAAAAGATATGCGCTAGTAACTGGTATAATAGTGATGTCTTGATGAAGACAATAGATATTCATAAAGTGACAACAGCATCATACCAACATATTTTATATTTTATTTTATTTTTGTAATGATTTATAATAAAAAGTCCATAAATTATTCAAAGGTGCGTCAATTTTCCCAAATGAGGAAGATATCAAACATTCGCTTTAAACCTCCATTGCGTAATCATAAGGTGCATGTGACTTCCGTGATGAGAAAAAAAGGGTGTGCTTACACTCACCAGACGTAAAATGATTTTACGCATGTAGTATAAAGGACACTAGTGGTCATCTGGAACCTGGTATGGATGTGGCACTCCAATGCTGCTTGGTATACCCAGGGGAAGTACTCCAGACCTCTCAGTAGACCCTCTTTGATAGTAGGAACTGCTGACAGGTTTTACTTACACCCGGCAACAGGTGAGTTCAGCAGTAATGGAAAATCCACCTTAAGTAGCTCAAAATAATCACCAGGACAAAAAGCTGATATAGTGTAGCAGTTTTATTTAGCCCAGTAATGATAATCACATAACAAGGCAAAAGGTATGTTATTAAATATCTATCAGTAGGTGGCAATAGCTACAGTATGTGAGTCAAGATAGCATATAGTGGCAAGTAGTGGCTGGTAAATAGCAGGCTACAGCCAGTAAATGGGATATGCCAGGTAAATCTCATGCATGTGAATCAATAATCCAAGATGGCCACTGGCCAGAGATGTGGCTCCAGCAGCTGAAGGTGACATCGGCGCAGTAAACTGGTATCCTAGAAGGTCTACTGAGAGGTCTGGAGTACTTTCCCTGGGTATATCAAGCGCCATCGGAGTGCCACATCCATACCAGGTTCCAGATGACCACTAGTGTCCCTTATACTATGTGTAAAATCATTGTACTTCTGGTGAGTGCAAGCACACCCCTTTTTTCTCATCACGGAAGTCACGTGCACTTTATGATAATGCAATGGAGGTTTAAAGCGAATGTTTGATATCTTCCTCATTTGGGAAAAATTGACACACCTTTGAATAATTTATGGACTTTTTATTAGAAATCATTACATATGATAAAATATGTTGATATGATGCTGTTGTCACTTTATGAATATCTATTGTCTTCATCAAGACATCACTATTATACCACTTACTAGCGCATATCTTTGCGCATCTACCACTATTATTTCACTTGAATATTTAATATTTTAGCGCTGCATTTGTGATTATAACTTTATGTTGGAGAATTTTAGAGGTTTTTCCTTTATGCTAGCCACTTTGCACTCTATATATATTTTAGAAAGCGCTTGCTTTACTATTTTTTATTTTTTCCCTGCTAATATACTGAAATGTGCCTGTAACCTTAACAATTGTGCTGGACATTTGGCTATTCTAGGTAACTAGACCAGAAATATTGAGGAGGTGGGCTTCAGACTGCGAAGTGTGATAAAATATGGCAAAGCATCTCCAAACAGCAGGTAGGCAACTATTCTGTCCAAGAAGAAGCGGGGTGGGTCCAGAGTCAGCACGACACAAAGAGCCAAGCAATGATAGGGACCCCTACAAACTACCCTATATATTTCCCCAAAGAGCCAGGGGGGAGTTTCAGTACTTTATTCAAGCAGATTTGTAAGGTTACCAACAGATCCACTTTAAATACACAGGTAAAAACGTAAACTTTGTTTCACAGAAAAGTAGTGAAAAACAGTAGCAGTAAGCAGATTTACTACTATAATGGCAAATGAAGTATATAGGAATTTTGTGAATAGAATTTGTTTGGTGAAAGGTTTTAGAGAGATGAACCAGTAAAATATTGGGATAACTCATTAACAATTTATACTATTAAAACCCCTTTTTTTTTTTCTTTCTTTTTTTTTTTAAAATTGTATATACTATCCAGCAATTGACATATTGATACTGGAGGTATAACTGTAGTATAAATATTGGATTCTCTCTTTTTAATTTGTAATATACAGGTATTTGTCTGTGTTTGCAAAAGAAAAATTTTTGAAAAATCAATAAAAGGTGTTTAAAAAAACAAAAAAAAAAAA